TACATACATACATACATACATACATACATACATACATACATACATACATACATACATACAGGTGAAACTAATATAAGCGTGTTAAAAATGATAGCGTTTTATTAAATATTTTTTTAAAACTTATAGTTTTAAAATCTAGTTTTATTTTCATAGAATTACGAATATTATAAAAATACGTCATATCTAGTTTAAAACTACTTGGTTGATGTGGATAGTTTCACATATACCTGTAAAAACTTACAATTGAATTGGATGAGGATAAAATGTTGAGAATTTTCAATTGCCTTTAATAGATTTATTTTACTTTGGATTGACATCTGAATTTTTTTAAATTATCTATTGATTCATGTTCTGTAAAATTTATTGTTTTTAGAGGAATATCTTTTATTGTTCTGTGTGATTTTGTACCTGGAATCCAGTGTGTGTATTTATCTACATTGTATAAAACTATAGGTGGACGATTACCTAAACTATAAATGATTCCAGATTTATCTATATCGTTAAAAATATATGTCATGATTGTATAATTTGCAATAACTGCTAATTCATCATCATTAAACCAATAATTAGGTAGATAAGATAATTTTGAAAGCTCCAATAGTTCAAATACAGAAGTTACTTTTTCATCTTTCCCATCATTAAGTGTGTCTATAATTGCAAAAAATCCATAATTATTTTTGCTATAAATGTTTTCTCCTTTTTTAAATGATTTAAAATTTTTTAAGTTATCATTATTCTGATTATAATTATTGACTTTGTCTGATGTATTAATATCATAAAAATGTTTAATTGTGTTTATAACTGAATTGTGTTCTTCAGTTTTCCAATCATTAGTAACATATTTATTATTTTGATGTTATATTAATACTAGTGTTTATGAAAGTTAAAACAATCATTTGTTTAATTAATGTCCTTTTTTTTTATTTAGGCCTGATGCTATTCTAGGCATTGTTATATGTGTTTTATCATTTCAATTTTTAAGTTATTTAAAGCTTTTTAAATATTTATATATTCTGATTTTTCAAAATACTAACTTTTTGTAAATAAAAAGTAAATTACTCTACCATTAACATTGACTAGGATAGCATCACCTATTTTTGGATTTAAATTATATAAAGTAGGAGCCATGTTTCCATACTTGTTACATAAGTCTAAAGTTATACCTTTATTCATTTTACGGTCACCTGAAATATAATGTGCTATAGAGTAAGAATCATTCACTGTAAACAGATCCATTACTTTTTCTGAAAAATTAGAATTTGATTCATTAATATTTACTTTTTTATCAAGAAATATGGGTATCAAAGACAAAAACAAAGACTTTAATGTGAACATTTATTGATTCAATATTTAGGACAATAATCGTTGTTTCTTAAATATTTAATAGTGTATTGTCAGGACCATTTTTATTTAGATTGTTATGTGATTTAATCTGATTTTAGGTATCAAAGTATCTGTTATGCAACATATATTTGATCCTGTGTCAATCGTGATAGGTATTTTAATATCATTAAATAAATTATAAAACTATAAAGCGATAGGCTTGTGTTTACTGTGTGTTTTGTTATTGTTAATTTTTTGTGCTGATTTAAAAGGTAAACTGTTTTGTTCAGGACCGTCGTTTAACCGTATAATCGTTAAAGCTGTATAATCAAATGAATTACAAATTCGGCGAATTATTTGATTATCTTTGAATGAACAATTGACTAAGTCATGAGAATTTCTATAACATATATGACAAATAAAATGTTTAGAATTTTGAGTTTGTCTATTAAAATTAGATTTAAAATTATTATTTTGATTGTAATTATTTCTTTGAGGGGTTCATAACAATATTGATTTCGCCAATTTTATTTAAAAGTATATGCGTTTTGTGTGTTAATTGGATAACAGTTTTGATTAGATGAAAAATTATTGTTGTTAAAACATGCTTGATAATTTAGATTATAATTGCTAGGATTGTTTTTGTATGAGAAACTATTTATATGAAATTTATTATTTTTTTGTGAACCATAATCACTTTTAAAATTATTTTGGAATTTAAATGGTTGAGAGTTATTGTTAAATCTATTGTTTTTTTTTTTTAGATCTATTATTGATTGATGAAAAATTATTAAATCGAGAGTTTTTTTATATTGATTATTGTATTGTATTAAATTAGTATATTCATTAAATTTGTATTTTAAGTATGACATTTTTTCGTTTAATTTTTCAATTTCATCATTATTATTAACTTTAGTCATTTGATTAATTTTTTCAGTTATTATGCATTATTTTATTTCAGACGGACTTTTAGGTGTCTCTCTATTAATCATAAATTCAACCATTTCATAATTTTTTTTAATTTATCTAAATTAAAATTAACAAGAACACTAAAATATCTAAAAATACTAGACTTTAGATCTCTCATAATATTTCTTACTAATTCATTCTCTGAAATATTTTTATCGATTCTTTTACATAAAGCTTCCATATCATTAATATAAGCAATCGTTTGTTCATCGCCTAATTGTTTTCTTTTCTCAAATAAAATAAGTAACATATCGTTTTAAGAAATATGTTCATATTTTTCTTTAATTCATTCCATGATAATTATTTGATTCAATATTATGATAAAAAGTTAAGACTGAGCCTTTTAAATATGAAACTAAATATTGGGTTTATCTTTTTCAGTCTAAATATTTATATTAGCTGCTCTATCAAATGTTTTTAAAAATTAATCTACTGGTTCATTTATACCACCCGAAAATGTAGTTGGTTTGAAAAATAATTTTTAATTATCCATTATAAAATTGTTAATTAATGGGGATTGGACTATATTTCTTGTCGTTGTTAATTTTCATTTCTATAATACAGTGATTAACTCACACTTTTTTAATTTATTAATCCAATCTAAAGTAGATCTATGTTTTTCTGGCACATCCTCTACAATATCATCACTTGTTTCCTCTGACGCTGGGATTTACGCATATATAAAAAATATAAACATTTTTTTTATTATTTTAAAGTTTTATGCGTGTAAAATAATTTTTTGCTCATTAATAATTCTATAAATGCTATTTTTATACATAATGTATATATATATTTTAAATAAATTTATGTATGAAATTCAATAATTTTGGTCAATTAATATTCGAAATAAGTCCCAAAAATAATACACACTTTATGTGTTAGTAATCTTTAAAAAAAAAACACCTTAGTAAAATTTAACTAAGCCTGTTGTTGGACACCACTTTGTAGTAACTCTAAAGTTAGTTAAAAGTGTTAGGTATATGACTAAGTTTGGATATTTGGGGATTTGATCAATTCATGAGCAACGAGGTACTATCGGGACTATAGAGTCCGAGAATTTAGAACAATAAAGTCAAGTAGATATAAAAGAAATGATTAAAGTTCCTCTTATGGAGGCATTATACGCTGAGGTATTCTTGTAGTGGCCGGGGGTCCTAGCCTCCTATCTGATACCCAGTCGAAATATATGACCAAGCACTAACTTAATATTAATAAGTAAATTAAATAACTTTTAAATCAATTTATTGTTTTACTGTTCTTTACTCAGATTATTAATTCTAAATAATTGGGATAATACAAATTTACTTACTTCTTTTAGATAGCTTGTATAAAGATCATCGAAAGTCAAAATGTTAAGTATGAAACTCTCTTAAATTGTGCTAATTCGCACACACGAAAATTCTATAATGTCTATTTTTATATAAATAAATAAATTTCGACGCCAAATTATTATACATCAATATCGTATTAAAATGTACCGTCGACAACAGGGGGTCGCAGCTAGTTAAGAGAAACTTGACAAGAGAATTCTGAATTCCATATCGAATTCAAAACTTCAAAAGAGCCGCTCGTTTGCATGCTAGCTCAATGGCTTGGTAGATCTTTGCTGTGTAAGCAGAACTAAGACTTTTTGTATTATTTTTAATTACTACCATCATGGGATGTTGTCGTCAATGCTTTTAGTGATTTTCATTTTATTGTATTAAATTGAACATAACATGATTATTATTTTAAGATAAGATGCATAGTATACAATTATCAATTTAACATGTATATACATATACAATAAATAGTGTACAACAGTGTATATGTTATTTCAGATAAATTAATTATTTGTTTGTACAAAAGTTATATAAAATATAGATTATAAATGTTTCATTAATAAATGTAAAGATGTGCAATGCAAAGCATTACGACATATCATTTAGCATAGTTTGCATTTAAGGCAGACTTTTTAAATTTTCAATCTCTTAGAAGAAGTTTATAGAAAGAGAAAAAAAAGTTTTTTAAAATAATAGAACTAATTGATGTTTGTAACAAATTAACAGAAGAAGTTACAAAGAAGTCAGCAATTTCATTGACCAAAATACCTACATGACTGGAAATTAAATGGAAAAAATCTAATTTTTGGTATGAATTTATAACAGAGATGTGAGATATGATTATGTAAATAATAGGAGGATATTAGGTTGAGAAAGAATATGAAGATATAGCTAAGATTGGGAATCCCAGAAAATGTTATAAAATTTACTAAGAGCTGATATAATATATTGAAAAACATAAAATCTTAAAACAAACAGATTTTTTTAACTTTTCGTGGAGTATTTGATCTTCAATGAACATTAAATAGTGGTTATGTCCTTAAAGACGTAATATTCTCCTATACACGTTGGTTAATAATTTAAATAATAATTAAAAATAAATAATAATAAAATAATTGAATAATTATAAAATAATAATAATAATAATAATTTAAGCCCAACCCAAACTTATATAGAAGAGCATTTTTGTAATTTTGCTTACATTAATTTCACTAAAATAGGTGTCAAATATCTTAGTGATTCTTAGGAATTGTCACATCTCTAAAAGTGGTAGCTATGTGATAACTTTGCGATTTATTTAAAAATCTAATTATGGTGTAAACTGAAACTTAGTTTTGATGGATGTCAATAGAAAGATATAAAACATTGGTTCTTTAGAAAATAATATTTTTTAAGTTTATATTCTTTTCTGCCATTGATATAATGCTTACAAAGCATTAAATTAGATTCTAAGACAACTATGACAATTCCTGTTGTTCAAAAAAATTCCATATTACTTAAAAAATAATCACAATGTTTAGGTAATAAAAATTCGTCGGCATAAGTGTAAAAAACTGTGATACCCGATGTACTAATACACAGAGAAAATATTTTTTCAAATCTTATCATATAAGAATATTACAATAATATGATCCATTTAAATTTTTTTAAATTTTATATGTTTAATTTAATTTACTTTAAAAAAAATTTCCCATCAAACCTTTGAATGGTGTAAATATTGATTTATTTTCAATTCAATATATAATTCATTAAAAATTTTTATTTTCACTATAGCGTAAATAGTCATGCAAATATATTTTTACTCAGTTATGAATAACAATAATATGCAAAAATATTAATTTTTTAGAATTAAAATTATTAATATTTTTGAGGTTATTTTGTTTAAAATTATTTTTTTATTAAAATATCAGCAAGCAATTTTTCATTAGGTTATCATAGATAAAACTTTTAATACTAACAGACAACTATAGGTTCTTGAATTTACGGTTCGTTAATAATACATCAAAATTTTGAATATTTGTTTTTGAACTAAAAATCAAGTCGGTGATAATGAATGAGTTTTGACTGATCTAATTTCAAAGATCTGACGCTACAAGTGAATAAATGTTAAAAATTCATTTTATGTATAAATTTGGTACTTAGAAAATTAAATATAATAAATAGGTGTTTTAGTGGTGTATCTATAAGTTTTTTTTATATGAACTATTTTTTATATTATGGTAATTGTAACAGGGCCCAATGACCATAAATACATAAGCAAACTAGTTATCAAGTCACCTAAGGTTGCAGATATGTCACCGATTTATTAAAATTATTGCAATAATGTTGCGACAAACATGATAGATTGAATTTCTTATCCAAAACAACTAATAAATCTACAAAATATAAACGCATTATAAGACTGGGACACTGGATAAAACATAGAAAGTTACGTCAATGGCAAAAAGAGATATAATTATTCTACCACTAATATCAGCTCAAGTACCCTGAAAATATGAACCGAAAATATATCTAGGTAAATTTTTATACTTTACTGTTTATATAAAATTTTAAGTAATGCAGCTTATATACAAACTTAGCATAGACATTCCACGTAAAATTCCCTTGTGAGTAGATGTCATTTTCAAATAATATTGTGCTCATGAAATAACAAATGAAACAGTGATTATATTGATAGCAGTCATCATTACCACACAGCCACTTACTATAAATAAATAATAGTGAAACTTTTCTAGACATGAGAAAAATGATCACAACATTTATTTAAACAATGAAACTTTTGGAAATCAATTAATATAAAACGTCCCATCAAATATTAGATTTCTAAGGGTAAACAAAGTGTAAACACAAAAACTAAATTTAATTATATATTTAAAAAATATATACGTTTAGAATATAGAGGTTGAAAACGAATAAATAGTCTAAGATTTTTTATAAGGTTGAAAAGTTAAACATTCAGTTTCAAATATTATCATAGACGAAGAGTAACATATTTTTTTGGGTCTAAATAAAATTATCTTTCTCACACTAAAATATATTTTTTTTTATTAATAAATATGAATTTAGGCTCGACCTAATTTTTTATTTAAAAGACTAATAACCATCCTATGTAAGTGTATATTATTATTTTAAGTACTTACTGAAAATATTGATTGTTGATTAAAGAACTTTTTCATGTTTTGGATGTTTTAGTATATTTACATTGTCTGCGAGTGAAAATAAATGAAAATTGATTATATATTTTGCAATGAAAATTTAACAATTACTTTAATTTATACGTGGAAGATACTACTAAAACATGAGGAATATTATTTTATCGACTATAAGAATGTTTACTCTTGAAACAAATCCAAATGTATTATACTGTCTTTAAGTCATCTTTTTTTTATCAAAATTACTCTTATGAATCATATTGAATAACTATTTAGTAGCATTTGATAAAATTTGATGTAGTTTTAAAGTTATACATAAAAAATATAATAAGAAACAATATTATATATAATAAGGTAATTATAGAGATAAAGATTTAACCGAATAGAAATTTAACAGTATTCAATACTTTGAGATAAGTGACATATAATTTTACTTTTTACAGTGTTTTAGGGTACGTATTTATTTTAATAAAGCCATAAAAAATTCGTTGTATATGGCTGATATACAATGGCTAATGTCTTGGTGGGATCTAAAAATATATTTTTGAAGTTTTTAAAATTTTCAGAATAAAAATGAAGATTAAAAAAAAATTGAAGTGGAGAATCTTTTTACAAATATATAGAACATTAAATTGGTTTAAAAATCACAACTATGAAAAAGCCAATATATTTAATAACAAATATTTGTTTTATTTTTCCACTGAATAACAATTTTTTATTTAATATTAAAGACACACTATCTGAACTTTGTTAAATTATTTGTAATATGAACAGTTATATATTTTTCAGAATTTTAAACAATAACTGTTTTTATTATGAAAATTAAAAATTTGTATAAATAAAACTTAAAAAAAAATGTTTTCACTTATTCATATTTTTTTAACACATAGTCATAATAAAAAAATATCAATAAAAACTATATATATTTTTTACACTAGCTTTACCTGCAGTAATTTGAAACCGTTTGATCGAATAAATTTTTTGCGATTTTATATTATAGTTTGGGTATAGAAACAATTAAAAAATTTTGAATGAAAAAGAAGAATCAAGATCAAACGTTTTGTTGATTACAATGAAATTACCTTTAATAAATGTATTTTTACAATTTAGATTTATAGATCATAATATAAAATATTAATAAATACAGTGATGACATTTGGTAATTAATGTCAAACCAATCTTTACGATTTTGTTGAAAATGTAATAAAATTTTTGATTCGATATTTATTAATCGGAGTAATTATATGATTAATATTATACAAAAATTTAATTTGATCGATTCAAAAAAAATATTTAATGAGTTAATAAATCAGATTGTAATGATTTAGATACAAATACACACTAATGATTTATTTCCATATCGTCAAACAGTTGAAAGTTTATTATTCCTATCTTAAGTTTTAAAATGAGTTATAGCATACGCGGTTAATTATGCAAATCCATTTCTGTCAAATCCATCAAAGAGTCAATAGACTTTGGTTAAACGAATCATACGTTGTATTAAAAAGACAATTTACTATGGTTTATATTTTGAATTTCTGTAAATTTAACATTAGAAATTTTCAGTGACGCAAATTATGCTGAGTGTGAGCAAACACCGAGATCGAAGTCAGGATATATATTCAAACTAGGATCATCAGTTATTTCTTGGCTATCACAAAAACAGAACAGCGTTTTATTATCTTCAATGGAAACTGAATATATAGCAGCAATTAAGACGGTAAAAAGTATAATTTAGTTAATAAAACTTATTTACTTATTTAGCATAAAAATTCAATCCACATTATACATCGGCAATTAATCAGAAATTTGACTAATCAAAAATCCGGAATTTCACAAACGTATCTAATACTTCGTACGTTTGCATATAGATGTTCGTTCCAATTTATCAGAGAAAAATTTGAAACAAATGTTTTCAAGTTATGGTTTGTAGGAACAGAGGATCAAAGCACTGATATATTGACAAAGCCACTCCAACAGGATCCATTTGAGAATTTTGAGTCTGAAATAGGCGTTAATCAAATCAAAAAAATATTAATTAAGGGGTTATGTTGAAAATGTAATCAATAATTTGTTATTTATTTTGTTACTTCGTAATGCTAGTTATGTTAAATGCGTTATACTATTACTAGATATGAATTCATAAAGGGTCTTAGGGTTAATTTTATATGGTTGTATTTTATCATATATTATATTATGCTACTTATATTTCTACTTCAAGTAAGTCGTGTTATTGGATAGAACTTTTCGTAAGCATAAATACTTATATTGGTAGAACACAATTTTATTTATACATTAGTATAAGTTTTAGTTATAGTAAATTATTACTTATTATTTTATTGTAACTAATTGTGTTGTAATTTATCTTTTGTTGATCCATAATATAATCCTTTTTCAACGGGTTATGGGCCCAGATCACCAATGATCTTTTTAGAACATCGAATATAATTATTAACGGTAAAAATTGTCAGGTCTTAACGGAGAACTAGAAGGCCAAGGTAAGTTTGGTTTTGCAGTTCATATAATTGATCAAATTATAGAAGATTCAATCACGATAATTGAAGTATCGGATGTAAAAGGGTGGCCAATGTGAAAGTTCCAAATGGAAATAGTTATTAATTTGTACGATTTAGGTGAAATGATTACAGGTAATTGGGAAAAACCAATAAATGTGACGTATATGATTCGACTAAAAAAATTCAGAAAAAGGCAATGAAACGGTATCAAATCCATGCAACTAAAGTAGAAAATCAGCAAGGAAGTGTCTAAAAATTATTATAACTTCAATAGAAAATGGTCCATTGCAATATTCAGTTAATTGTGAAAACGTATGTTAAATGTGGGAAAAACTATTGAGTGTTTATGAGCAAAAATCTAAGTTTAATGTATATTTTACTAGCCGTTTTTTATTACAAGAATGTCGTTTGTTACAACAAAGTAAAAATAGCATGATAAATGCTGAAAAATCAACTGCGTTTACATCGAAATTTCAAAAGAAACTGCAGGAATATCCTTAAAAAATCAAGAAGCTAAAAATACAAATCAACCAGATAGTAACAATGCGTTTATAAGTGGGTCAATATTATAGTCAATAAAAAATGATTAAAAATGGATATTGGACACTGGTGCATCAGATCATATGTGTTTAAAATATGAGTAGTTTTAAAATTATGATAAATTAGAAAATCTAACTCAAGTGAAAATTGGAAATAGAACATCTATGTTTACTGTCAGGAAAGGTAAAATAGCTGTACTGTTAAAGGTAGATGGTATATAAATTATCTTTTAAATGTGTTACACGTCCCCGAATTAAAATTTAATTTATTCTCGTATGATTCAACTTTTGACAAAGGTCTAAAAATGAACTGTGATAATAACAAATCTGTTTTTACAAGAAAAATTGTTTGTATAGCGAAACGTAAAGATAGATTATTTCTATTCAGATTCAAAGTCGAAATTCTAGACAAAACGGTACAACAAGTCAACAAAGCTATCAAAGACCTGTTACAATTATGACATGAGCGATTAACACACCAAAACATACAGTACGTAACTCATCAAACAACAGTTCCATACACTCGGAACAAAACGGTAAAGTAGATCGCGATAATAAAACAATAGTTGATGCTGTAAGAACATTAATTCATTTAAAGAACTTGGATATTTCACTGTGGACAGAAAGTGTCAATTAAAGTAGTTTATACACTAAATTTTACAGGTAGGAGTTCAATTAAAAAAATTAATTTATCTTTCACCGATCCATAAAATAGTCCTCTTTCAACTGAATTCTATTTAAGACTGTGTCTTGTTCAATTATTATACTTAAAACTACGTATATTATTAGGTTAAAAATTTGTTATTTCGAGTTAAAAATAACTAACATTTAATCAATTCATTTTAATCCAATCGCGTTTTTGATTGCAATTATAGCAAAATTAATTATTTTTATGTCTTGTATGGAATTTAATGTAATATTATATTATTACTTATAATATTAAACTATATTATTACGTTATCATGTATACATGTATGTCACATATTATGATTATACAAGATTACCAAAACAGGGTTCTCTTATTTAAAATACAAAATGGCCAGTTAATTTAATTATGGGATAAAATCTACTTATTGTAGAAATTATTAAGTAATGCCTACACGCAGGACCCTCATTATAATTGAACAATTAGAATAGAAAGCCTCAGCTTTCAGGATCACGGTACGGATCGCTGGGCTTCCTCCTTCGGACTATAAAAAGCCATTTTCCCCCGTCTAAACCAGTTCTTTTGACGATTTTAAAATACACAAAATCTAAGACACTCTACTCAAGATTTCACTATCTGGGACTTAGTCGTTTTTTTAATTAATTTGGACTTAGAATATTTTTCTTTAAAACTAAATGACACTTAGAAATTTCAAAATGAATTTTTATTGGTGAATCTTTTAATTTAATTCAATTTGTTCATTATATAATAATGTTTTATTTTTCTTATCGTGGAAATAAATATCAAGCAATATTTTAAACATTAAATATATTTTTTAATTATTTTATTTTAATAATAAATCCAACCCAACTTAAAATTTTTATTTAATAGTAAACATTTATTGTTTTCTTATTGGGTGCTAGTTCTGAGCTTAATGTCTTTGTTCTAACGAAAATCGTGCCGGCGGACAGAGCTCAAGGTCACAATTTTGTCAGTTAATACTGAGAATTAAATTTATTTATTTATAAATTTATTGGATTAAGTGTATTGCAACTCTATACTGACTAGATTGCTAGTCATTGAGCTTAATGTCTTTGCTTTAACGAGCATCGCGCCGGCGGACAGAGTAAAGATTGCAACTAGATATTATTCTAGAATTAGGTATATTAGGTTAAAATATATTTGTAAGCCAATGTGTATTGGGTAGCTAGCTTAATGTCTTTGTTCTAACAAACATCGTGCCGGCTGACAGCGCAAAGAATCTTACGAATATATTTTAGGTGTTTAATTTTTGTCTTGGTGATTATTGTGCAGCATCCTTTCAAGGCGCTAGCACCGGGACACATTGGGCCACCACAATTACGCCTAGATAAATTTTTTACATGGATACAAATATTTTTGAATCTTGTTTTGACCAAAACAGAGGAAGATTTAAAAAATATTGGTGTCAATCTCTCAATAAAATATACTCTCTCAAAAAGAAAATTTATTCAACAAACATAAAAAATTAATAAGGACATATAAATTATATTTCTTATAAAATATAGAGTGTTTAGAATCTTTTACAAGTAAAATCAGTCATAGATTTTGTGTAATTAAATTGTATTATTTAAAATTTGAATCATTTTCGCATGTTTTATATTGACTATATGACGTGTAGTGTAAATCATATAAGTAGTGCATTTAATACCAAAATCAACATTAGATTACTTAAAATATTATTTCATTACATAGAACGTAAGGTAAGTACAATTTAATCTGTGCTTTCGAACCTCCAACAATCTATTTGCGTGTAATAAACCATTAAATAATTAATAAGAGCATTAATGAATTAAATAAAATTACAGTAGAATCTCGGTAATCCAACACATATCAGACCACGCTACTGCCGGATTAACGAAAACGCCGGATTAATGGGGAGTTCACAAAAAACGCATTTTTACTAATTGAATTTTACATTTTTACTCATATTAAAAAATTAATAGTCTTATTGTATTNGTGTCTGTTACCACTTTTTCTCAGCTCTCACCGAACCGATTTCTTTCAATGATACGTCAAAAGATCACAAATCGTATCTAGCCGAAGACATTACCCTCAAAAATTGAAAAAAATTCCCTCGTTCCCCGTAAATAGGGTCAACCTCCAAAAAAATTACAAATTTAAAAATCGCTAATTTTCGAAATTTTTTCAATTTTTAGCTTCGATGCGAAGCTGAGAAGGTATTGGTTTTACTAAGATGTGTTTTTTTTTTTTTTTTTTGTGACTGTTACCACTTTTTCTCNTTTTTTTTTTTGTGTCTGTTACCACTTTTTCTCAGCTCTCACCGAACCGATTTCTTTCAATGATACGTCAAAAGATCACAAATCGTATTTAGTCGAAGAAATTACCCTTAAAAATTGAAAATTTTTCCCTCATTCCCCGCAAATGGGGGAAATATCCATAAAAATTACAAATTTNTTCCCTCGTTCCCCGTAAATGGGGGAAACCTCCAAAAAAATTACAAATTTAAAAATGGCTAATTTTCGAAATTTTTTCAATTTTTTTTACTAAAAATTGCCGTAACTTTTTTAAAAATAAACATATCAATATAATTATTTTTTTTATAGATGCATGATGTCATTACCTATCATTTGTTATATTTTTTTATAAATCTGACTTTTAACCTGCCCACAGGGGAGGATTTAAAATGACAACTTTTTTACAAAAAATTAATTTTTTCAACTTAACTTTTGAAAGTGTTCCGGAAGGTCTGACACTTTTATATATATCTTAAATTAAAGCTAATGTAATATACTTTATAATGGTAAAAAAAAATTTTATTTTATCTTCATGGTGAAAACAGACATTAAACTTAATAAAAAAAATACGATTTTTGTAAAAAAATTCTTTTTTATATTTTTAACTTTATAATGCTATAACTTCTCGAAATATTTATGGATCAATATAATTCTTTTTTTTGTAGATGCATGATGTCTTTACCTATCATTTGGTATATTTTTTTTATAAATCTGACTTTTTACCTGCCTACAGGGGGGGATTCAAAATGACAACTTTTTCACAAAAAATTGACTTTTTCAACTTAAATTTTGAAAGTGTTCCGGAAAGTCTGACACTTTTATATATATCTTAAATTAAAGCTAATGTAATATACTTTATCATGGAAAAAAAAAATTTCGGACTTTATTTTATCTTCAAGGTGAAAATGGCTACCAAATGCTATTATTGTGTGAAAATTCTCAATTTTATTTTTTACATTTTTAACATTATAATGCTATAACTTATTGAAAAGTGTATTGATCAATATAATTTTTTTATGGGAAATACTATTTTTTAATAATCCCTTTTTCATTCGACATACTTTATCTTAATCAGGATATTAATAAGGAACTAGCAGTTTATGAAGCTTTTGGAATAATCCACCAATTTTTTAAAATTAAACACTATCTAAAGATTTGCATCGAAGCGTTTTTTTTTGATAGTGATTTTAATCACTGTCAGATATCATTATACTTGATCCAACTATGCACGTCACCACTGTGCCGCGACCCCCCTGTGCTGGGTTTTTTTACTTAAAATTGCTATAACTTTTTTAAAAATAACCGAATCAATATAATTTTTTTTATAGATGCTTGATGTCCTTACCTATCATTTGGTATATTTTTTTTAT